GGGCAGCTCGGCTCTTAAACAGAGCCGAAGAGTCAGGGGAGGAGCAGAGCGGCCATTTTCCTGGACATGTTCGGCTTTTTGGCAGTTCCCCCCGGACAGGGGTTTGAGTGCCGAAAAGCAGGACATGTCCGGGAAAAAGAGGACGTATGGTAACCCTAATGTCAGAGAACACATCAATGGTAGAGATGTGCATACAACATAAGTCTTGAGAAACTACCCTTTGCCTAAAGAAGGAAAGGAACACTTTAGGGAGTCGCAGGTGTATGTATGCATTTCAAACAGGATGACATTAAGAAAATGAAATTTCAGCTGAATGCCACGAAAAGCCTCCTAGGACCAGTATAGGCCTCATTGCTGGGGATATTTAAAGCTAAACAAGACAAAGCACTAGTAAGTATGCTATCGTGCAGTGAGCAATCCTGTACTGCCAGAAGTACTCACTATTTGATCTTCAGTAATAGTTTTATTTTTTAATCTGCAATGCCTGGGATATTATTAAGCCAAGCAAGCACCTTCTTATAGCGGACATCTAAAAGGAACTCTAAATAGATTTGTTGCAACATGCTCTTTGTTCTGCATCTGAAACTATTGCAATATTCTTTTTAATCATCTTACCTCCAAGTTATACAGATATTTGAAGTGGTTTTCCTGACTGGCAGCTTTTCTCACAGCCTGAGCCAATTCCACAGCTCCTCTACCGCCAGCTGACCAGTGATTGCAGGGCACTGCATCAAATGCTCCAGACTGTTTTGCAATCTCACAGACTAAATCAACTTCAGCATGGGCGTCAGTTCTGCCAACCAAACAGTTCTATGTCATTATTTTGTTTATTTACTCTTGTACAGCCTTATTTGTTAAGCAATGCTCTGTAGTTACAGTTGTGAAACAAGTTAGTTATGGAAATCGTACAATTATTAAATGTTTATAAACCCCCCAAATGTTTTAAGTACATTGAAGTAGGAATATTTCATTTAAATAAGTATTACAAATCACATACAATACCATTCTATATTTATGTGATTTGAAAACCTCTAAAAGAGGCAGCTAGAGGGGTTTTTAAAATGTTTATATGCCTCAGGATGTATAAAAAGTTTGATGAATTTACTTTTTTTTTTTAAATCCTTTCTACAAGTCAAATATAAACTTTCCTCTCATTCCTTTAAAAGCGTCTCTCTTCATGCCATGTAACAAATGTAAATAGGAAGTGCCCTAAATGAAACGCTGAAAATTACATTACAGTTTTCTGAATTTTAAAATATTTTCCGGACTGAACAAGCATATTTAATTACGTCACAGCACCAGTAGAATCTTTGTAACTCTTTTAAGTGGTATATGAAGTTAATACTGATTCCACTTCCTGGATTTTCACCCAGCTGTGAGTGGTAATATATTTAATATACTATATGAGGTGCGGAAGTAAGTGATTATACCTAGTGCAAAGACAACGAGCTTGATCTTTGGGGTCTACTAGCATGAGTAAAGGATGGATTGACTTACTTGAAGACATTTAGAGCAACTACAACAGGAACTCCAAAGAGTTGAGCAATCTGAATTTGCTTCTGTAGATTACAACAGCCATCAGCTACCAGCTGGAGATTCTACATCATTAAACAAACAAAAAAAACCAAACAAAACAGAAATGGCAAGATGTGTCGCATCTTTTCTAGCCAAAGAAATTTCCAGAAATTACAACAAACATGGTTAGTTATAATTATTTTTATATTTATGGGTAACCTTTATAAATAGGCTTCAGACAAAATACTTTTATGTAACCTATTCATTCCGACTTCAGTAGCAGCAGCCGCATTTACATAACTGAGCAGGGTCCAGATCTTTTACATTTGAGCATGCTGCCAGATTGCTCCCTTCTGGGACACAAGCAAGACAGAGCTGCTGCCAACTGGCTGCCAATCAATAAACAAGATGCCAGAAAACATCTGTGGGCCGGTTGACATTGGCAGTGGTCTGGACTGCTGCCAGTTTCCCCCCACTCTAATTCGTGGCTCCATCTAAAGGAGTTACACAGTAATACAATTCATTAAGACATTTGCTGCAGAAGCTTTCCATCATAGGACTGGCGCTATCTCATCTGGTTCCTCCTAGGATCCTTTTTCACCACATATCCAGGCCCAGGGAGGACAAATGGAAGGAGGAGGTGGACTAGCCTTCTCATTCTCCTTCCAAGCTCAAATGCAGGGAGAGTTCACTCAAATCAAAATCCTTTGTGTGATGCCACTTACCTTGTGAGATTGCACTAATGTGGGCATTGTATTAAATGCCCAAATACTAAAAGCTTCCCAGAGAGGATGGTTGACAGGGATGCTAGCTGATATGAGGCCCCATTCAACTCCCACTGAAGTGAATGGAAAATCCCACTGACTTCAGTGGGAGGCGGTTTAGGCCCATAGAAATGTAGATCATAAGCCTCTCAAACTTGGGACATTTAAAATACAAGACAAGCCCACTCAGACAGCTTTCTCTTTCCCACACATGTGAACATACAAGCATACAGTTCAGGTGATTTAGTACTGTTGAGTTTCTCAGGTTGTTCCATCCTGTTCCCTACTTAGAGGTTTTAGGCTTTGCCAACCAAGGCTGTATACTGATTTTCCATGGAAAAGTACATTGGAATATAATTTGCCCATCATGTAATGTAAGGACGGATATAAAAATATTTTACCTTCATTAATCTCTCCATTCCTGAATCCACTGTTTAGAACTACTATATGAGAACTAGGTATTATTTGTATGAGCCAAACATACCATGGTAATGGTTTATAGAAGTGAAGTGGTTGGAAGATTTCTATATCAGAAACACATACTAAACCTAATAATAACCAGGTTGCAAAACTGTAATTAAAAAGAAGTAGACAGCAGCTAAAGCACAAGTAATAGGCTATACATAGGCTTTATCCACAAAGATGAAACAGAGCCCACACATTGATTCTTTAAACATGTATAGCCTATGTTTGAGTTGTGCCATCTTGCTGTCTAACCCCAGGCATGAAGAGCAGGATTAGTATTAAGCCTTAGAGTCAGCACATTATCCTAACACATGAGACTGGACATGACACACTATTTTGAATGTGTTAAAGAGCCTCTTCCTGTTTCATTTCCTAGGGCCATTTGTTTATGGTTTTTTTGTATAAGGTGAGGCTTGGAAATAGTGGCTCCCTGTCCTTAACATGAACAGATATATATAGACAGTTCAATTCTTGGTACACTCAGTTTATGTTTATAGTTATATAAATGCCACACTATTACTTTCTGTAGATTTTCATATATACTTTAATTTTACTTACAAATGTCAAGGGAAGGAGGAATAGAAAAAGGGAAAGAAATGCCAATATTTTTAGCCCCTAAATTGTAAAGGGCCTTAGGCATGGATATTAATCTCTCCGTAGGTAAATAAAATACTTGTGAAAAAAGATACCTGAACACACACAATGAGTAATCAGGTTCCTTCACATGGTAATGACACAAGTAGATCCCTTAATGGGCATCTTAGTTAGTCCATGAATTCAGATAACATACCAAGAACAATTTTCATCTCCTGAAACTTGGAAAGTTAAAGAAGTTTCCACAACATTTTACTATAGTTAACATATTTGTCTGATAATCTGAATTCAAGTGTAATTGTTTTGATGTAAATAGAAAAACACAATTTTTAACCTGAAACAACTTTTGATCAAGGAAAAAAGGAGGCTACACTTCACAGTGGCTCTCTCTCATAAGAGTACTGAAGTGAAATAGAGTTCCTTTGTAGGTGGCTCAGCTCTCCAATTCTATAGTGGTGGGTGCTCTAGAAATATCTGAGGGTTACTCAGTTGAAGTAACTTCCAAGGTCAAAGATATTTAACACTAGGAAATGGCTTCTTAAGTCTGAACACTACCACTGCTATCTTACTATGATATTGCACCCAATCCATACAACTGAGTAAACAGAGATTTTCTTCCCTTTGTAGGTATTTTTCATATTTATTTTTAAATTGTATCATAAAACCTCAATCAAGAAGCGCTTGTTGCATCTACTGCCTGCATCTAAACTTGCCACTCTCCTCTTGCTTTATTGTTTGCAAAGTAACTGGCAACTGTGTTGTTTTAGATCTTTTCAAATCAGAACTTTATAAAAAGGACAGGATTAAGTTTGACAGTAATTGCTCTTACCTCTTCTGTATATTCTTTCTTAAGAGGGGCACCAGCAGTTACCTGAAATCATAAGCAAGTAAAATTAACAATCATCTAACAATATTAGTCAACTACCTGCCTGGTCAGGAATATAACTTTTAAAAAACTTTTGTACTCCAAAACATCACACGCATTGACAATACTAAATAAGACAACTACCTTCCTTTCCAGCAACAAAAGTTCAGTACAACCACAGACCATAGCCTTAGAGAAAGTTACAGCTGTACAAAGTGAATGGCAAAATTTATCACTTCCCCCCGACCCAAAAATAAGAATTTGTGTCTTCTCAGTTTATTACAGCAGTGACTTGGTGTCAGGGCTTTCTTAAAAAAAAAAAAAAAAAAAAAGCAGTTATGATCAGAAAATTACTATGAAAAAATGGCAACTGGTTACTCAAGAAATCGGTTCTCTGTGTGCATTTTAAATCCTATCTGCTGATTTTGGTGACAAAATGAATTTTTACAACTTTACACAATGTTTGTATTCTAAGGCTAATACAGCTATTGAGACAGATATAGCAATTTCCTCCAATATCCTTGGGAGACCTTCTTGAATTAAGTATCTTTGGGAGCCATCATATTGAATGGTTTATGTATTATTGTGGGCTGGGATTGTATGTAACCTTTTGACAGGGGAGATGTGACAGATGTGAGACCTGGGGATTCAAAGGACTATGCTGAACAACGTTCCAGACAAGAATGGACTTTTGGATCAAAATGTGTGAAGTCGTTTTCCTGGGGAATAACTAGGAGGAGGTGAATGCAAATTCCTCACCTCCCATTATGCAAAAATCCAGCCTTTTGAAGCTCCGCCCTGAGAAGTGAGCCACTGTCTACTGATCAATATTACATGCAGTCAAGATCAAAGGGCCAAGCTGTATAAAGGAAAGACTGATCTATTCCTGGGGGTTCTGGCTCTGAAACTGAGACAGTTATGAACTTGTAACCATGGGAAAACCCAGTTGTGAGATTCGAAGGATTGACACCTTCCAGAGCCTGAGGCTGGAGTTGGGAGAACCTCTGGTAAACTTTTTAGCATGTGTGTAGATTCTTTTATTGTTTTGAATACGTTTTCTCTGGAATGCTTTCACCTTAAGAATAAATGAGCTTGCTTATGTTGTTAGTAACATATAACTTGGTCAATTATGCTGTTCACTGCCTTTAAAGAGAAAGCAAACCACAGATGTGGCTTGTTTAGGTAGTCTGGCTTGTTGGGAATATCACAGTGTAGGCAGGGAACTATGAAGCCTGGAAAAACCCTGGTCAGGAGGGAGAGAGACATGGGTCTCTGCCCAAGAGATGTGACACCTGAGAAGCCAGGTGCCTAGAATGGGTGCCCCTGAGGGACCATGGAGCGGGAATACAGATGCAATTGCACTGAACTGTGACAGCTACAGGAGAGTGAGCTGGCTTTGCTCCTGGCTTGGGCATCTACAGAACTTTAACTAGGTTCTGACTGTAGAATCCTATTTAAAAAAAAAAAATAAAATAAAAAATCAAACAATGAGATGCCCGACTGCAGTCACTTTACACTGGGCAAAAGTGCTGGAGTAGCATAAAGAGGCCCCCCTGCATCTGCTGAAGGAGGATTCTCCCATTGCTGGAATTGTGGAAGACTGCCATATGCTGCCTTCCAAGGAACCCTGGAAAGTTCTGGTGTGAGGAGCATGCCGAGGGCCGGGGTGCAGTGCTGCAGCCCAGAGATGCTGCTATTACTTATACAGCTCTCAGGGGCTGTTTAAATTACATCAGGGGCTGCTATCCAACCATAAAAGAAAGAAAATATATACTGTTTCCAGGAATTGGAAACACTGCCTTTCCTCCAGTCACATGATTAGTGTACAGATTTAGGTATAAAGTTACTAAATAGTTGATCGCAGGTGACACAGATGTTGTCATCTTTCATATATATAAAGCACACAAAGGCGGCGGAAATCTGTATTAACTAGCTGACTGAGAGGATAGCATCCCAGCACAGAGGGCATAAGCAGTTGACAGCAGGAATGGACACAACACTCTTGTGGCTGATGGAACCGTGCCTTGTGGGCAGCTGCAAATTAGAGCAACACTAAGGCTGCTCTACATGATTCCTTGGGACCAGACTGGCAGCACAAATATCAAGAAGTCACAAAGGTTTGGTTTATACAGTCACTTTTATAGCTAACGTTCCAGACCTATGATTTGGCCCATTCTGTCCTTGTACAGTATATTGTGTGGGGCAATCTACAACGTACATTTGTGAAAGACAAGGGTTAGATAAAATCAATACATAGTTAGAAAGGGCAGGTTTAAATTCCCCTTGTGCTAGACTGAATGAAAATTTTCACCTCAACGTACTATCATGAAATTTATGGAGGAACAACATGTCAAAAGACAAAAGAGCTGTATGTGTTGGGTGAGAATGATAGACAGGTAACATTATGACAACAATATTTTGGGTATTTAATCTTAGAAAACTTGGCACCAAAAGGTATGAATAAGGGAAAATCTCAGCACTTATTCTCTCCGAGATGATTAGATATAAGGAAGGCTCTGTGCATTCCACAATTCTGTGGTTGTAGAAACAGCTCTGGAATTTGCCCCCAATATGAGGCTCCACAGAAAGTTGTTTCCCTGGCAGTATCAGATCCTTTCAGAATGCTGGGCAGAGAAGTTGACGCATGTTGCTAGGCTTTCAGTGTCTTTGCCTGGTTAGTAGAGCGCCAGTCACTCATAGGAGTACTCCTGATTCTACCTGACTGAGTGAGGAGTGCCTCTGTGATTAGCAATCTATAAGACCCGGCTTGGGCCCAATCAGCGGGAGTGATATAGTGGGGATAGGGGAACACCATACATTCATTTGTATCAGATGGCTTGGAAAAGACAAGGAGTCAATCCTATGGGGGAGAGAGGGAGGAAGTTCCCTCCACCTCAGTGGCAAAAGCCACAGGCCTTCCAGTCACAAGACAAGAGTCTCAAAACTCCCTGATTCCACTAAGCACACTGCAATCTGAATTCCTCTCTCCCCCTCAGCTGCCAAGCTCTCTGGCTCATAACAACCCTGCACTCATAGTGACCATGCACTTAGGTATTAACACCACTGAGATTTACAAATCACTATTTTAAGAGACATGGGAGAGAATGTATATAAATAATTTTTCAAAGGATTTTTAAAAGATATAAAAAAACTTCACTCTCTTTTCTAAGAATTAGTACTTCTTCATAGCTATATAATCCTTACTCATTTGGTTTGAGTCCTATAATCTCCTAGGGAAATTCAGGAATGGACATCAGTGTGATGAGGGAGTTTAGGAAGGAGAATTTCTAAACAACTGTTTACATTAAGAGCTTTTCTAGCCACTTTTAACATTCAGAATTTTATACATATTTCAAATGTTAATGACAATGTTTCAGGTTTATCATTTGTGTTCCAAGAAAGGTGCAGATACTTACATTTGGCCCTCCTCCGTGCATTTTCAAAGCCCTCACTGTAGCAACAAGCACAACCACACTGGGAACTAAGCCAGATGCTCTGCATTTGATGTTGAAGAATTTCTCCATCCCAATGTCAGCACCAAAACCAGCTTCAGTTACTGTTAAGGATAAAGAACTCAGTTAAAGGCAAGGGACACTTCACTTTATTCTAGTATGCCGCATACTTTTAAAAATGCAACTGCATTCGTTTTGCCAGACCTCCAGAGTTCTATTTACATGACTGATTTTGATTATCGTCAACCATTTACTGCTCACAATAAGTTCTCTTTTTCCTGATAAGTACAATATGTCACCCAAGCGTACTGCATAAAAAAGTTAAGTGAAATCTTTTAGTAGCATCCAGTCCTGTGTTACAACTATTTTAGTGTAGTTATGTACATTAAAATACTTCTAAAAAACCAAACAAACCTTCCCTCTATTATTCCCCCTCACATATTTTTACTAGATAGGGGTGGACGTGGATCTGAAACCCCTTGAATTTTGGGAATGTTTAATCCAAGTCTGAAATGTGTGGCTCATCTCTAGCTTTTACAGAGCAGACATGCAATTTCAAAACTGAAAGACAGGGTTATTCACAATCATCTGCTCTCAGACAATGTTTAAACAAATACAATACTAAATACCTATAAAATCATATTGATATTGTGCAATTGAACAATGAGAGTAATTAATCATTGGAACAATTTACCAAGGTTCGTGGTGGATTCTCCATCACTGACAATTCTTAAATCAAGTGGATGTTTCTTCTAAAAGATATGCCCTAAGAATTATTTTGGGGAAGTTCTATGGCCTGTGCTATACAGAAGGTCACACTAGATGATCACAATGGTCCCTTCTGGCCTTGGAATCTATGAAACCATTTATCTACGAGTTAAAAATATCAAAGGGAAAATGTCCATATTAGATAAAATAATGATATTGTTGTGACTCTTGAGCCATTTGCACTAGTTTCTTCCCCACTTGCCATATATTCAATTGCTTTAAACCTGGTGGGGTGCCAGGTTCCCTGGGATACCCACATCCCCAGCAGTCCATAGAGACAGCCAAGCTGCATGGGAGCAAGCTAATAAGTTCTGTTCCATTCCCACCCGTTCCACTACAAATCAGTAATGATTCTGCTCCTTGAGTGCCCTTCCCCTGAACTTCTCCATCATCCAACAGACTCCATTCTTTGGGATCGTCTCTTATCCTTAACTCTTAATAGGGACCCAACAGATCTTGAAGTCTCCCAGCGAGACATCAAAGCAACATGCATGACTCTCCATGGCTTCCCAGTTAGTTGTGTCCTGTTGTATTAAAAGCTGGACGGGAATCCCCAGAATTCAGCAGAGGGGGACACCTTTATTTGTTCAGCTATGCATCTACGACTCTTCATCCTCCTAAGTCCTCTTTCCCTTCAAATGCTGAAATACCTAAACTCAGCATTTTACAAGTGAATTGAACCCTGTACAATGCGAGAAAAGTTAGGTGTGAACAATACAACTACGGACAGGATGGATTCTCTTATTTTAAAGGCCAAAGAGGGAGAAACACAAAGTCAGGTACGTCAGAGCTTGACTTCTGTGTGAGGAAGGAAACAGGATGCAGTAGAAAAGCTGCTGGGATGAAGGCTACCAACTGCAAAGGAAATAAAATGCAGAATAATGAGAAGATTAAGTAATGTGCCAAACTCTTGTACTTTGAATCCTGTTTGTTCTCAAATAATCAGTGCAATCACTTTTATATTATTTCCTGCTTTCAAATCAGTGTGCCAATTAAAACATAAACAAATAGAGGCCATGGGGACTTAGAGAACAATAGGGGACTTCAAACTGGTTTTAGTTTAATGATTACAAGTTTAAGGAAACCATTTAACCAGCTATTATGAAAAACTATTAACTTAAAAGAACGCAATTATTGCTTTATTTCAGGGTTATAATTTATATTGTGTGTTTTGTCTCCAAAACAAAAGTGCAATCAGCTGTTACACATGAAATGTTAAGGATTTTCAGCAAGAAATAAATATACAATAAATAACCCCTTTCTACGCCATGGTCGTGACAAGTAATGGACAAAACCATGATTAACAAACAGAAAAATAACAGAAAGTCAATTACACAGTATGAACTACAATATCAAATGGTCAGTCAAAATTTGTTTCTGGAAAGGTGACTTACTTACTGCCTGACTTTTTTACAAGTAGAAATTAAAAAATCAAAGAGCTTATATTTTAAAACTCAGTGAATCTTGCATTACGATATCCAGTAAAAAACAGGAAATGGTACTCTTTATGAATATGCTTCTTTTTGAACTAGTTCCAGTCCTCCAAAGGTGGTGAGATGCAGCACAATAGCATGGTTGTCACTTTTCATTCTCTCAGAGGAAACAGTCTAGGTGGCCACTTTCACAGGGTTCACAAGTTTTGTTTTTCAAATAAAACACTCAGGATGGCAGTTTTAAACTAAAGAAAGCTTAGACAGTCTCTAAAAATCATCACAATAGATTATTGGGGCCACTAGTACAAAATGGCGCAGTGCAGCTCCTCAACAACACAGGCTACCACGCACACATTACACCTGTTTGTTCTCTACACTTGGCTTCACATGGAATACTGAATCAATTCGAAGTCTCGACCCCTATCTTCAAAGCTCTCCATGGCCTGGCCCAGGATACCTGAATGACCATCTAAAGCTCCAGGATGAAGAACGTGGTCGACAATTTAGCTCCTCTGGCAGAGTAAAGCTCCTCTATGTGGGAGACAGAACTTTCTCTGGGGATGGTTCGATGCTGTGGAATGAACTCCTTCGGGAACTAAGGACCATCAAAATCCTCACCACTTTCCACTCCAAGTGCAACGCACATTTCTTTGACCTTGCCTCGTCTAATATGAACAAGTAGCAACAGGCATATTTATTTAATAAAACAACAAACCAACCTATCAAAATAAGACATTCCACTCCCCTGCTTCTCCCTCTGGGAAGATGATGAGAGAAAAACAACACATGACTGAGTGGTAGTCATGTTGCTCAATGCACTACTGAAAGGTGCTCAGATACTATGGTGATGAAAGTGCTATAAGAACCTATAGAAAATAGAACAGAACAGAATTATGGTTTTAGTAAAGGAAGCTAAATTAGAATAATCCCAGATTTTTCATTTTCATTTAAAAAAGCCCCTGTTCTTTGTTGTTATTGATTTATTGTAAAACTCCCACAGTGGGATTTATAATAAACATTTGAAAACAGATTTTAGGACAGTGCACATTATAAATGTGTGCAACAGAACTGTCTGAAGCAGCTTTGACCTTTGATTAAAAAAAGTTGATTAAAAAACATTTAGAATGTCTATTACTCTATTTTTTAATATCTATACCTTTGACCCCGTAAAAAATGAAGCATCTACATACATTTTCCATCACATTACTGACTGCTCACATGTGTAAAACTTACTTTTATTTAATAAATAATTAAAAACAAAAACAAACAAACCAAGACACACTACTGCACATGTTTCTTCCTCTGGGGAGAGGATGAGAGAACAAACACCACATGACAGAGATTAGTCATGTGGCTTAATGCACTACTGGAAGGCAGTCAGATATTACAGAGTGTACAGAATACAATAGTATATAGAATTTTGGATTCCTTTTTCAAGAGAACAGACTTGCTATAATAAGGTTAACGTTAAAAGAACATTAGTTGAAATGGTCTATAACCATCTTAACTGCAGCTCAACTTCTTTGAGATGATATAAGGCTGGATTCTTGTTTGCACTAAGATCTCTTTAAATTGCTCTGTCAGCGTAAATGGACCTCAACCATAACCTGGGTATAAAAGCAATTTACTCCCATATTAAGGCTTCTTTACACTTGCAGAAAGGGGCCCTATTGTAAACAAGAATCAATCTATTACTGGAATGCAAACTTTTTCTGCAAATATTTTGTTGCTTAATTCTACTCTAAATTTTATATTGCGCCACCAGTAGTAGTTGAGGCCTGTTATTAGAGAAAAAAATAAACATATACAATTTAGTAATATAAAGGGCACTGAGATCCTATAGGGATAATATATACCAGGGATTGGCAATGTTTGGCCCACAGCCCACCAGAGTAAGCCCCCTGGCGGGCCGGGCTGGTTTGTTTACTTGCCGCGTCCGCAGGTTTGGCCGATTGCGGCTCCCACTGGCCGCGGTTCACCGCTCCAGGCCAATGAGGGCTGCGGGAGGAGGCTTGGGCCGAGGGATGTGCTGATTGTGGCTTCCCGCAGCCCCCATTGGCCTGGAGCGGCGAACCGCGGCCAGTGGGAACTACGATCGGCCGAACCTGCAGATGCGGCAGGTAAACAAACGGGCCTGGCCCGCTAGGGGCTTATCAAACGGCTAAAACAGGTTCAAATAACAATGCTTTTTCTATTTTGCTTAAGATTCATCTAATGATAATCTAAAAAGCAGGTACATTTTAATATAGTGCAAGTAACTTAGAAGAGGATTCCACTCTAAATTGGGCCAAGCCCAAAATAGTGAATTATATGGGACCTTAGACAAGTCACTTAATTTCCTTATACCTTGGTCAATTCAGCTACCAAAACAATTAAAAAGCAAAACATACTTACTCAGGAAAGAGATGCAGTACGTAAACCAAACACCGCAGAGGGTTTGGCCAAGGGGAGGGAGAAAATCAGAGAAAACTCAGAAACATGTGGAGACAGGAAAAAGGATAACATCAAGAAAGAGATATTTGTGGGAGAGGTATAAAAGAAAAACCAAGGGAAATGATTATTTTCCAACTTTCTACAAAGTAGGTACTTGTCACTGAAGTCTATAATTCCACTTTAGGGTGGGGATTGGTATGAGCAAACCTCTCTAATGGTTCCCTATCACGGTTTATGTCATCACCAGAATCCCTCAATGGAATTATTGCCTGGCTGTGCACAGTTGGGGATATTTTATTTCTTGTACAGTATGAAGGATGTCAGAAAAACCAGAACAAACAGTGTTGTGGTTCCTGCACCTGATCAGATTTCATAGTCATGACCACTTTAGAAAAATAGTAAAGTTTCTTCACCTAAAAATACATTTATCATGCTATAACTAAATATGTAAAACAGTTCAATGTTAAGTG